GCAGCACGGCAGCAGTACGGCGGTGCTGTGGGAGCCTGACCTGCTGCAGGTGATGGAGGCGGTGGAGGGGAGGGGGGTGAAGGAGCTCAGCGAGGAGGCAGCACAGAGCCTCAGGCAGCTGCTCACTCAGGTACACACGCACACACACACACACACACAGGTACACACACACAGATCAAACACTCACACACACACACACACACACACACACACACACACACACACAAACACACAGATCAAACAATGGACACATTTGTGGATTTTAACAGGATAGACTTTTATCATGCTGCTACCTTGCTATCTTTATTCCTTGAATACATTAATTAGAAAGGAAGTAAAGGCAGACAAAGTGTAGTGTTAGTTGGGGTCGTGCTGTGTTTCTCTGTGTGTGTTTTTCTCTTTGTGCTGTTCTTCACAGAGAAGAGCCTTTAGATGGGGACCAGGCTTGTTTATGCAAATAAAACGTAAACTATAGTTTATGCAATTATAAGACTTTAAAGTAAATGCAAAAGAGAAATGCACCATTCTGTGGCTCCCATGTACATCCTCCAATGTACCCGAGTGATTTCATCTACACTGATGTACATCACGGTCACATGACTTCACGTCAACACTGCTGCTAAGCTAAAGGCGGCTAATGTTCATCGTGATGACGTTTAGTCGTCTCATTTAGACACATGTTAGCAACCACCTTTTTCTGACAAGTAGAAGCTCCAGACTTCCACCAGTGGAGTATTTACTGATGTGTTTCATGTCGTAGAACAAAACGTGAACATCTCTTCAGCTTCTATTAACCACAGACCTTATTTCAGGCATCTAACCAAAAACAGGTTCAGAAAACCATTGACTTTGGGCCAAGCGAACCAGAAGTGGTAAAATGCTGACTCATTTATCGGTTTTAGGACTCATTCCTGCACCCACAAAGCAGTGGTTTCAGGTTTAAGAAGGAATGGATCCCAGGTGTGCTTCCTACCTATCGTCTGGAGCTGATGCCTCTTAAGGTCCTTACACACCAAGCCGATTTCGGCCGTCGATAGATGTCTGGCCGCCGATGAGCGTCCTGTCGCCCTACTCAGATTGGTGTGTCTTGGTGTGTCCCGCCCCGTCGTGTCTTTTCGGCCGTGCCGACACCTTCCGCCGCCGATTCAACATGTTGAATCGGGAGGCTAAAGGCCGTCGGCCAAAGAAATCACTCTGATTGGCTGTTCAGCTTAGCGAATCAGTGCATGAGAAGCGAAACGGAAGTGAGGGACCCAAACAAACGATTAAGAAGGCAAATCTGAGATTTCATTTAACTCCAGCTCTCGACACAGGTTCGGGAAAGCCCCATGAGCTTCTCGCTGTAGAGTGAAAATGGAACGCACACGCTATTTGTTGTTTGTTTATATCACGCAGTCTGTTCTTCTTCTCTCGGTGTATCACGCAGTCTGTCTTCCGGTTGTTGCCTCTTTTGAATGACGAATACACACTACCGCCGCCTGCTGGTAAGGAGAGTTATTGCCACTCACGCATGCGCAGTTCGTACGTGCAACTTGGCCGTCGGCTGAAGTCTTTGCGGTGTGTTCCAGTGCGACTGTTGGCCAAGACGAAGAGACGTGAGGCGACACAACAGTCGTGTTCCGCCGGGACGTGTTCTTTGGTGTCAGTTTGGTGTGTAGGCCCCTTTACACACACACACACACACACACACACAAACGCATATTTTGCCTTTAATCAGACCCCATCAGCCTCTCACCTCTCCACACACCACTTACACTCTTACCATTAATGATCTCCCTAACACACAAAGCAGAGAGCTACTGCTCTCTAGTCGAGCTTGTGATTAGCATTAACTCAGTAACCCCGGCAGGATCCAGACTCATTGGTCACGTCGGCACTAATGACTCCTCATCTGTGTTGTCACGGAAACTGGAGACTGAATATAAATTCCTAATTTACCTCCGTGATCGACACAGGCACTCGTTTTAATTGTGTCTGGACACTATAATAAATGACATGTCAGTTAGAGAGGATGTTGCTGTGCTCTATATACACCATGAGCAGGTGGAGAGATACCTGCATGAGAAACACATTAGCTTTTAACCTGGACCAGATCATTTATGAACATGGTAAAACAAATAGATTACATTACATTATGTACTTAATTGATCCCAAATTTGGAGAAAAAAATGTGTCGCAGCTGCATGTCTGGTAGTCATTGCACATGAGTAAGAAAGTATATTAGAATATAAGAAAATAAATAAGAAAACCTTTGCAAAAAAAATGAATGAATCGACATTTTAAAGGTCAACTGAAGCTTTTGGTCTAATTGCCTCGGGGGATTGTGTTAATTGATTATAGTTTAATAGTAAAATGTCGCCATTATTTTATTTCCAAAGGTCAAAAAGGAACATTACAGATCAGCTGTTATGTTACTGTCATTATTTAGACAGGCAGTAAGATGTCATTTACAGGTAAACAAGACTATTTTGTAGGCCACTAGAAGTGAAAAGAGGTGCTGCAGTATGAGCAAAATAAAGAGCCTTTTGAACATTAAAGCATGGAGACATGTCCCAGGAGAGACACTACATACTGATATGAGCAGAATATGTCAGCATAGCAGTTACTGTAATTTGTAATGTTTATGAACTGGCTGTAAATCCCTGTGAATATTGTGTTTCAGCATAAGTTAAACAAGATGAACTCTGTCCTTGTCGTTGCCCTTCGCAGCGAAACGCATAAAGCCCCATCTGCTCTGAGACGTTATAAAACACAGAAGCGGTATCAGATTGCTCAGCGCAAATTTGGCATCACATATAGGAGAAGAAACACGTTTAATATTCTGCAAAGTGGCTCAGAATCAGAGCGGTGACAGAATGATGGCACAAGCTGCAGCTCCCAGTGCAGTGCGAGCGCCAGGGGAATCATAAACTGTGAGTGTGTGTGTGTGTGTGTGTGTGTGTGTGTGTGTGTGTGTGTGTGTGTGTGTGTGTTTCTGCAGTTTAGGGGGAGGCAGGGTTCAATGTGACACACACTCTTCTCTTAACGGTCTCCAGACAGTATGAGTTTTCCTTCCTGTCATCCTCTCTGCTGCGATCTGTCACACACTCGCTCGCTCGCTCTGAACCGTGTTCGTGACTCCTGCTGATCTGCCGTGGAAGAAAGTGAAGTGTCAGGACGAGAGGAAGCGCTGCGTGCACGTTAGTCAGAGATTTGGTGTCATAACACTATCTGGCTTCCTCCCCATGAGTCATGACATTAACTGTTAACTGTGGTGGGAGAAGTACTCAGATATTAAATGCTTATAGATACTTAATTACTCAACAATCAACAGTTATTTATCTACATATTTATAATTGGTTTTTATGATACTTTCACTCAAACTTCCAAGGTTTATATAAAAATGTTATTTCATATTTATTACACATTTTTACTTGAACTGCTAATTTTCATATACAGGATTTTATTATATTTTATTAGTTATTTATCGCACATTTTTAGAACAGAAATATTTGTATTTAATTTGTAAATATTTAAGCAGTTTTTCTTAATTTTTTCATATTTTATTGGACTTTCTTTTCCGTTTATTTCTAATTTAACTTCTTGTGTTAATATAAATATATGTGGTGTCAATCAATCAATCAATCAATCAATCATTTAATCACAATTTTTTTACTTTATTATAACTAATCAAATAATTTCTGAATGATTGGCATCAACTCAGAAATTACGTTTTTACATTTTATATTACAAAGGACCAACAAAACCACATTTCCCCCCAAGATACATAAATTATTCAAACACTGTACTTTGTTACATTTTGCAATAAAGGGTGTGCAGACATGATGAATATATCTATCTGATCCAGAGTCAGTGTTAGCGGTCGCGCTGCATACTGAGTCAGCTCGTCAGATCAGAGCCAGTCTTGAGGGAGAGTCCCTTTTTATCATTTGTACCGCTCACAGACTTCTAATATCTTCCCCCAGATATCCGTCACTCCTTCCATCTCTCAGTCCTCCACACACTGACCTTTCTCTTCCCAATCCTCTCCTGCTTCTCCCCGTTATGTTGGAGTTTCTTATTCTGCCCTTTCCTTCACCTTCCTTCAAAATATCATCCTCTAGTCACTTGATGTTTCCAGATATATACAGCTTTAGCTTTGAGTGCAACGTTCACTTATATAGGAAGATCCATCAATTTCACTGAATGCTTGAAGCTTTTATGTGTCTTAAAAACAGCGGATGCCAACAAGTGAGTGTACCTTAGCCACCTTTAGCTTAGCGTGGTGAAGTCATGTGACTGTGATGTTGTTCTTTTATAGTCTAACGTTAGCTTTTTACTTTTAGCAATTGCATTTACTATTATACAATTGGTTTTAAAAATGTGACGCAGAAATGAGTTCTAAAACCCCCCAAAAAGTTAGCATTTTAGCACTTTTAAAGTCAACGTTTTTCCAATGTGTTTTGATAAGATGACTGAAATAAGGTCTGTGGTAAACACGAGCTGAAGAGATTTTAACGTTTTATTCTACGACATTAAATACGTCAGTAAATATCCCACTGGTGAATGTCTGAATCTTTTATGTGTCATTAAAACGGCGGTTGCTAACGAGTGTCTAAATGAGACTATTAACCCTAAATGAGACGACTAAAAGTCATCACGCTGAACATTAGCCACCTTTAGCTTAGCGGTGGTGACACAAAGTCATGTGACCGTGCTGTAGTTCCTACACATATTTGTTGTTCCTCCAAATATGTGGAAATTATCCTGCTGAACAAAACGTGTAAGTATCATAAACGTGTGTTCGCCACAGAGCTTATTTTCTGCAATATTCCAAAATCCAACGGAAGAATCTCATTGGCTTTTAGTTGAGGGACGTCTTGAGATGCTAACGGCCCGTCCACACGGCGGCGTGCGTTGAAGCTTCAACGCTTCTGCCCATTCACTTTGAATGGGGTGACGTCACGCTTTGCCGAACTGCATTGTGGTTCCGTCGCTTCGCGTTGCTCGCTTCGACGGAAGCGCCAGCCAATCAAATCATATGCCAGTTCAAGCTCTAGCCAATCAAACCGCGTGCTTGTGTGCCCGGGGCGGGAGATTCATGTGATTGGTTGTTGGTCGAGTTTCAGACACGCCCGCCGGCAAGCTTCAACGCACGCCGCCGTGTGGACGCTGCGTAACATATTTTTATTTCGCCCCTTTTCTTCACTTGCCTTCAAAACTTCCTCACATATATAAACATCTTTACCTTTGAGTGCAACACTCCCTTGTATACAAACATCACAATTCCTCTCTCTGGAAAATTAAGGATTCATATAATTTCCTCTCCCAGCAGCGTAGAAAATGATGATTATAGCAATCATGAAGAAGACGACAAGAGATGTGCTTTAATAACAACACTCAGCTGCTCACAACAGTTCTGTGTTCATATGATTATAATTCTGCTGTGACAGCTGAAATAAATAGTTGTGTTTGTGCGCTTCCTGTCACGCTTACTTATTGAGCACTCTTGAGCGTCTCCCTCTGAGAGTGCTTTCAAATATATAGTATTTTAGGAAATGTTCAAGGTTCTTTATTTAGTCATACGAACATAGTGTAGTTATGCCGATGAACATCTTGTGTCACAGGCTTCTCCAACAAAACACAGATAAACAGAAAAATATAATTTCATCTACAATGTAGGAAAAAAAGGCCTTGAGATTTGTTCGTGTGATTCAGACATGGTTATATCTTTCATCTCCCTTCATTAGCCTTTACTGCATGCTCTTTAAAAAGACGTTTTTATCTACAGGCATTGTTAAAGAACAGTTGAATAAATTATGATCTTTAATCATTAAAAGATCAAATCGTTTGTTAACTATAGGCACTCATATATACTTTATATACGAGTGTTTTACTTTTATTTATTTTTCTTAAATCGTTTTTTACTCTTCATTTATGACGCTGTATGAGCCATACGCTAGAGGGGGTAGGACCAGAAACGGTTTTTTGAAGCTTCTTCTTGCCCCTGTTGAACGTAACAGAGACTATTTATTTATTTAAAGGTCCCATGTCATGGCCATTTCTACTGATCATAATTCCATTGTTGAGGTCTACTAGAATAGATTTACATTGTTCAATGTTCCAAACTCACATTGGTTTCTCATACAGCATCTCTGTATAGTATGTGTATTTACTCTGTCCTACACGCCTTGTTGGAGCTCCTGCCCCCTCCTCCCTGTGAGCCCACTGTGCTCTGATTGGTCAGCTCGTCCACTCTGTTCTGATGAGTCAACCACCGTTACAGCGGAACAACAGTGATTATGTGTTACAATGGCGTTTGTTAGCAACCAGAAAATGACACCAGTAAGGACAAACAGATGCTGCGTGGGGTCTGGGTGCCGTGTTGGCGGGACGTTGCGGGGCTCGCTGCTCCGCCCTTTGAGGCTCGAGGAGCGCACAGTGTGAGCTGGATTACTGGTGTCGTTTCCTGGTTGCTGCGTGGGGTCTGCGAGACAGCAAGACACCGAGGAACTCAGCCTGAGCACACACACACACTCACAGCCTGGCTTTTTCTGACATGTTCAATAAATTGACTAATACAATTAAATAATAAAAAGCAAGAGAACAGACAACACAAACATTTTTTTAGTATTAGAAATGTGACATAACAACACAAGAGAAATGTATTGGTAAGATATCCGACATGTTTTAAATTGAATTGCAGATTCTTATAGTAATATGTTTGTTAGAATAAAAATGCCAATATTGTCATTACACCTTGTGCTCTTTATATACATTTCTCCACTCTCCTTTATTTTGTAATCCCTTTATTCTCCCTCTTCTTGTTCCTCCTCAGATCCAGAGGAGCGTCCTGCAGCCTCCGCTCACAGAGGAGCAGAAGCAGAGAGTGAGGAGTGTGATCAAGTCCCTCGCCCTTCACACTCCTCCAAATCTGCCCGGCAACGTCCTGTATCCTTCATCTGTCAAATATATATAATCACACCAATCTCACACCCTGCACAAACCTCCAAACATATTTCTGTTACCTCTTGTCCAGCCGGTTTCATGTTTCCACTGAAGCAGCGCTCGCTCTCGGCGGCGAAAATTGGTTTGGCGAGCTCCAAGAACCAAGAGATGCGTACAGCAGAGACTTTAGTTGAACGTTAGGGAAGGGAAGGAAGTTGCAGAAGTGCCAAGATCAAAAATATACGCATCACAAATATTTATAAAAACGACGTGTGACATTAACAAGGCATAAGGCGTCATATTGTTCATTATTCACACTGAAAAAAAATGAAACATTGACTTTAATTAAATAAATTATGTCAACAGATTTCACACAACTGTATTAGGTTAGTTGAAAGCAATTATATTAAGTTTAAATACAAAATATCATGCTCAACTTAATATTATTGCTTTCAACTAACCTAATAGAGTTGTGTGAAATATGTTGACATAATACACATAATTAAAGTCAACGTTTTTGTGCAGCATGCTTTGAACTACAACCAGTTTGCTATCATTATGGATTACCAATAGAAGCAACAAGTACCTACTAATACTTGTATTATTTAGTTTGTTAGCTTTAATCTTGTTATTGATCAATCAGACTGAATTCGGTGGCTATAGGCTAACATCATCCATAATGCGCTATGGCTGTATGTTGCCCAACAAACAGCTGTTTTTAAGACACACAGAAGCTTCAGACATTCATGAGTGGGGTTTTTACTGACCTGTTTTATGTCGTAGAAGAAAATGTGAAAATCTCCTCAGCTTATTTCAGGCATCTAAAACCCAAAAACTAGTTGAAAAACCTTCACTTTGAGACGAGGAAACAAGAAGTGCTGAAATACTAACTCATTTCCGGGGTTTTAGGACTCATTCCTGCACCCCTCTTTTGTTGTTATTGTGAGTAAAATTCACGATAGCGACACAAACGTTGACATCATGACGTTGCTCCTCTTGTGGTCACTGGAAAAGTAAACTCAGTGCAGAAGCAGTATGTATGTAAGTAAGTAAAGTTTATTTATAAAGCGCTTTTCACAGACAAAGTCACAAAGTGCTTGACAAAACAATAAAACATCATCATAGGAACAATACAATGATAAATGACCACACAAGCCACGTGTTAAGAAGTCGTAAAAGCACCAAAACACAATCAAAACATAGTATAAAATAGAATAAAATCAAGCACACCGGTTACCCAAACGCCTGCCCAAACAGGAATGTCTTTAAATTGTTGTATGTATTTGTATGTTTATATTTACTGACCTGTTTTATGTCATAGAACAACATTTTAAAATCTCTTAATTTCATGCAGCTAACCAAAAAGTAGTTGAAAAACCTTCACTTTGAGACGAGGAAACTAGAAGTGCTGAAATGCTAACTCATTCCGGGGTTTTAGGACTCATTCCTGCACCCCTCTTTTGTTATTGGGAGGAAAATGTTGACATCATGACGTTGCTGATCTTCTGGTCACTGGAAAAGTAAACCGGTTCCTAGCTGGTTCCTAACTGGTTCCTAACTGGTTCCTAACTGGTTCCTCTCAGTGCAGAAGCAGTACGTATGTATTTGACACGCTGCACACACACCATGATGGATTCACATTCTGTACTTCAAACATCAGCAGAGCGTCTTCATTGATTTTCTCCAGCAGAGTATTGAATGTCTGCGCCGTGCCTTCAACTTAATCTCCTTGAAAGTGTGTAGTACAACACGGGGTCGTTACTGTATTTCAGTCAGTCTCCACTGCAGGGCTAAGTACATCTGTCGTGCTGATTGACTCTCACACACTCTTAAACTCTGTCAGCGCTCGGTGGCAGCTTTAATAGCGACTGTCACATAAAAACAATATTGCCATGTCACGTTTATAGTGAATAAATACAACTTAACAAGTGTCAGCAGAAGCTCGAGCCTCACTGGGGACTTTTTTCATTTGTATTTTTGCCTCGTTTTAAGGCCCCTACACACCAATCTGACACCAAAGATCACGTCCCGACTGTTGCGTCGCCTCACGTCTCCTGCGTCTTGGCCAACAGTCGCACTGGAACACACCGCAAAGACTTCAGCCGACGGCCAAGTTGCACGTACGAACTGCGCATGCGTGAGTGGCAATAACTCTCCTTACCAGCAGGCGGCGGTAGTGTGTATTCGTCATTCAAAAGAGGCAACCGGAAGACAGACTGCGTGATACACCGAGAGAAGAAGAACAGACTGCGTGATATAAACAAACAACAAATAGCGTGTGCGTTCCATTTTCCCTCTACAGCGAGAAGCTCATGGGGCTTTCCCCAACCTGTGTCGAGAGCTGGAGTTAAATGAAATCTCAGATTTGCCTTCTTAATAGTTTGGGTCCCTCACTTCCGTTTCGCTTCTCATGCACTGATTCGCTAAGCTGAACAGCCAATCAGAGTGATTTCTTTGGCCGACGGCCTTTTACCGACAGCTGGCGGCGGAAGGTGTCGGCACGGCCAAAAAGACACGACGGGGTGGGACACACCAATCTGAGTAGGGCGACAGGACGCTCATCGACGGCCGAAATCGGCTTGGTGTGTGAGGACCTTTAGAGCTTCTGGTGTATTTATTTTCTATTAATGTGACATGGCAATATCAGCAGGGATTTCATTAATACCTCGATACAAAATAATGAGTATTACTGTTTAATAAGATAAGATAAGATGGACCTTTATTAATCCCCGTGGGGACATTTTGTAGTTTAAACGGCAACAGGGTAAGAAGGGAAAACAGGACAGCACAGATTCACACAGATTAATACAATAAAATATCAAAGATACAAAACTATGAAATAAGAGATGAATTAAAATGAACATATATACATGTTGGGTCATATATACATATTAGATATATTTACATGAATGTGTGGAAACAGTGTGTATTTTATGTCCAGTAATTGTGTCACATTGTTGACTTTCAAACACACACACACACACACATGTACTCACATGGCTCCTTAACCTTTGTCCTCAGGCGAGTTAGAGACGTGTCCATCTGTCTTTCTGACTTCACAGTGAAATCAGACTGAGGTTTTCCAGTAAACTACAAAACTCAACAAGCCATGAATCTGGCTGGAATCATTTTTGTTTTAAATTTGTATGTATGCACCATGACATCAAGTCAGGTTCCTTGTACGTGTGAACCTGGCAATAAACCCATTTCTGATTCTGATCCGTTTCATTGTTCATGAATTGCTACACATTTTGAATCTTAAAGGTCCCCTATTTATACTGTTTACCTAGAGGTCTCAGATATATACAAAACATGTCTCTGAAGTGTTTGGCTCCAAACACCAAACAGATCATTGCAGCATTACCCATAATCCCCTCTGTTTCAGCCCTGTTTCAAAAGTGCTGATTCTCTGTCTGTTACTTTAGATGAAAATAAGGAGCCCCTCCCCACGCCCCTCTGAGAGATATTTGGTTACAAAGAACACAATGGTGCTCTAAGAGGAGATTCAGGTGATAAGGTGGGGGGGGGGGGTTACCTTGGTTGGTGATTGGCTAATGGTTACACAAGCCAACACATCGTTATGACATCATAAAGTGGCCAAAATCTGATCAGCTCATTTTCAGACAGGTTTTTATATAAATGGATCAGGACAAAAAGAGAGAGAATCTTTGTTCCTGAAACTTTCAGAGTCTCTTTCCACAGAGGGGACACATGTTGATGTAGAAGAGACATGAAGAAGAGGGGACACATGTTGATGTAGAAGAGACATGAAGAAGAGGGGACACATGTTGATGTAGAAGAGACATGAAGAAGAGGGGACACATGTTGATGTAGAAGAGACATGAAGAAGAGGGGACACATGTTGATGTAGAAGAGACATGAAGAAGAGGGGACACATGTTGATGTAGAAGAGACATGAAGAAGAGGGGACACATGTTGATGTAGAAGAGACATGAAGAAGAGGGGACACATGTTGATGTAGAAGAGACATGAAGAAGAGGGGACACATGTTGATGAAGAAGAGACATGAAGAAGAGGGGACACATGTTGATGTAGAAGAGACATGAAGAAGAGGGGACACATGTTGATGTAGAAGAGACATGAAGAAGAGGGGACACATGTTGATGTAGAAGAGACATGAAGAAGAGGGGACACATGTTGATTGGAGAAGAGACATAAAGAAGAGGGGACACATGTTGATGTAGAAGAGACATGAAGAAGAGGGGACACATGTTGATGTAGAAAAGACATGAAGAAGAGGAGACACATGTTGATGGAGAAGAGACATAAAGAAAGAGGGGACACATGTTGATGTAAAGAGACATGAGAAGAGGGGACACATGTTGATGTAGAAGAGACATGAAGAAGAGGGGACACATGTTGATGTAGAAGAGACATGAAGAAGAGGGGACACATGTTGATGTAGAAGAGACATGAAGAAGAGGGGACACATGTTGATGTAGAGGAGACATGAAGAAGAGGGGACACATGTTGATGTAGAAGAGACATGAAGAAGAGGGGACACATGTTGATGTAGAAGAGACATGAAGAAGAGGGGACACATGTTGATGTAGAAGAGACATGAAGAAGAGGGGACACATGTTGATGTAGAAGAGACATGAAGAAGAGGGGACACATGTTGATGTAGAAGAGACATGAAGAAGAGGGGACACATGTTGATGTAGAAGAGACATGAAGAAGAGGGGACACATGTTGATGTAGAAGAGACATGAAGAAGAGGGGACACATGTTGATGTAGAAGAGACATGAAGAAGAGGGGACACATGTTGATGTAGAAGAGACATGAAGAAGAGGGGACACATGTTGATGTAGAAGAGACATGAAGAAGAGGGGACACATGGTGATGTAGAAGAGACATGAACAAGTGGATTTTGCTTAATAGGTTACCTTTAAATACATCTTAAAACTTTCCACAGCCTCGTTGGCAGAGTGCCATTTCTCCACTTTAAGAATCACTGACCTACTGTAAAGGACAAAATACAACCTAAAACTTGCCTCTGACATTTTTGTGTTTTATTCGAGTTTTGCAACTTTAGAGTGATAGCAGCGGTCAAGGTGAAAGCCACCATTAATGGAGCCATTTATTACAGGGTTGGCTTAGTCCTGTCTTTGAGCTCAGTAACAAAGAGAACAGTGAAAAGGCTGACTGATTAATGCACCACATTAAAATAAGAAATTATCCACAGAAGTAATTAATCCACTGATCATTTCCTTAAACCTCAAACCTCAGCTCGTCTTTCCCTAATTTATCCAGGGAGAACATTTTGTCCCATTAAAGACAGGAAGTACTGGATACCCATCAGCACTTTAACAAAGCTGATGCAGAAAAACTTAACTATAATGTTCATACTTAGGATGTCTGGATAGGATTTAAGTATTGCAGGAAACTTAATATTAGTAGTTATTTTGTACTAAAGTATTTATAATCAAGTCAGACAGTACAAATGGTCTAATCATGTTAATTTAATTCAAAGACAAAGTCAAGTCAGAGGTTCTTATTGATAAAAATGTACTCATTAAGTTTCCTTCACCCTTTCAGGACACTTTCTAAGAGGAAACAATTGATGTAGTCAACGAAATGTATGAACATAACATCATACATTATATAAACACAAAACTGGGGAACATACGTACAGATCTTTGTCCAACAGATCCCCTTAAAAAAATATAAATATGTCTGATATATAACTTATATAATAGATAGAACAAAATAAACATGGTTCTTCTAATCAGTAGTAAAATCATCTCCTTACATTTTTACTAATAATGTTTGAATCATTCAAGACTTGATCTCTAGCCACATTTATGGCTAATTAATTCCTCCATAAAGATTAATTTAGGGAGGTCTTATTATCTCAGAGGAAACACACAAAAAGGGAAACGGAACGCACCCCACGCTCCGACCAGTGTCTCCTCATAAACCGTCCGTGCGGAAACAACATCCTCCTCCACGGTTAGCGCCCGCTGGCTGTCATTCGTCCAAAGAGAGCCAGCCGGGTGCGATCGTGGCGCTGGCGGAGTGGATACAAGAGATCCGCATGTAAATGAACACCTCCACCTCCTGAGGATCTACAATCACACGTGCTGTTTTCCAAGCTGACCTTAAACGCTTCGTGTGGAGATATATACAAAAAAAAGGAGATTCATCTGCACTACTTTTGGGGAAACGCTGTGCGCTAATCGGGCTGTTTCTCTCTGCAACACGGTGAGTGAAAGGCGAGTTTTCTGGCTGTACTGTCACCTGTGTTTTGCAAAAATGCGATGAATCGAGTAAAGTCTGGGAGCTACTTGAAATACTTGGTGAAATTACCTTTTACGCGCCCTCCTTTACATACATGATGGTGTTGTATTGCGGAGTTAAAGCAGGAGAAATAGTCCCACATCGCAGCTTTTTACTAATTTAATTCCCTCGTATTGTCCGTAGCGAGTCTCGAACCCGGGTCAGGTAAAGGGGGCTTGCAATCAATTAGGCAATGCATGATTGATGGTCCACATGACAGTCTTTATCCAGGCTCTGCCATCATCATCATCACCATTACGCATGTCCGTGCAGCCGTGCCTCTGCATGAATGATAACAGAGAGAGAGAGATGATGTGTCAGTCCTTGAACCTCAAACATCCCACAGCCTTCTGGCAGCCCGGGGGGAAGAAATCTGGATCTATTGCTGCTACAAATCCAGATAAGCGTCCTTTCTTTTGCTCCATCTTCTTAGGAGTCGTTTTTTAGGCTAGTTTTGCCTCTTTGAATTAATGTCACAGAGTTTGATGGATCTCTCTTGATTGAAGAGTTTTTGGGCTTTGCCAATTGGGATTGATCGAATAGTCTAGGAGCGACTCTTACATTACATTTAATTTAGCTGACCCTTTTCTCCAGAGAGACTTACAATAAGTGCAATCAGCCATGAAGAAACAAACTTAAAAAGCATGAGTCCTGAAGGTACATCTCCTATCTATAAACACAGACTTGGAGTACTTGGTGTATTTACCATAATCACCCATAAGCGCCCTCCTGACATGAATAATTGTGATGTATTGCAGAGTTGCATTTATCAAATTAACTCGCTCTTATTGTCCGTAGACAGAATATGGATCCACTCCTGCTGCACATCCATCTCTCTGTATCCTTTTCTCTAGCTCCATCTTCTTAGGAGTCGCCTCCAGGGCTAGTTTTGCCTCTTGAAGTTAACGTCACAGAGTCGGTTGGATCTCTTTTTGATTGAAGATTGCTTCCCTCTAGAGAATATCTCATGCACACCACAGGGATTTTAACTGCTGCTGGTTGTGTGTATGATCAGATATACGCTAGCCTACTTATATGACATAGCTGGAAACCTGGATCCCCCACACAGGAAATCAAAACTTCAGCCTCTCTGCCACAGGAGACGGTTGTTGGCAGGGAAGAGAAACGCCTCCGGCCAAGATATTTACGTGGGCTTTACACGGCTTCAACGAGAACTGTACCCCAGAACAGAACAACCCGAGGCGAAAACATCTCGCCCAACTTGAGTGCCACATTGACAGACCAAATCTGAACTGACGTTGGAGCATCAGCTGCAGGGAAACCCATCCAAAGCGTGCATCTTGCAGAGCATCTGTGTTGTAATAATGTGTGTACTGTCTTGTACAACTCAAGGGAGAAAGCCAAAAGGAGAAATCATGTCAAAGGTCTCATTTCTCAAGAGTAATCTGATTTCAGAACTTAAGTGCTTCTCTTAAATGATCAACGCTTGTCTGGGTTAATGGACGCATTTAGACTCTCATTCCTGTGCTGCCCATGCCACATTAGGAGATGATTGATCCACTCCTAATGTCTCTCCTTTTTAAGGTCTCAGCACTTTGCCCAATTGCACGGAAACGGCAAAAGGATGTATAAATATATGTGTTGATGGCATTAAATCATGCTGGTTGCGATAACCTTTCTGCCCATAAATAGCTGTCGGAGCTACATGGCTGACTGCATGGAAGCACACTGAGGGGGGAGGACATCAAATAAGTCGACAAGGAGAGACAAGGCCCCCTTTTTTATCTTGACTGTTATCTAGAAATATTGAGGCTCTGGAGCAGCACTTAAGGATATTTAATGCTGCGTTTCTCAGAAAGCTGGGAAGCTACCCAAAAGGTGTTTTCAGAACTCACAAATTGGCCTTAATCGAACATTGTTTTCACTCGGCTGTCT